TGTTGCTGCTGTCTGCAGTCTGAACGTTAGATGTCGCTGAAAATTACACACTGTAGCTTTAAAACGTACTTTTATTAAACAACGGCAACAGAAAAGAGAACTTTGAATTCTCTGAGCTCTGTGAGCGCTCCCCTGGTAGCAGCTGCTGCCGCAGTGCATGCTGGGACAGCTGTCAATCTCAAGAACAGACCAGTCTGCTCTGATGCATTCTGGGTAAAGAGGGAGGGGCGAGAACAATATTCGGAAACTTTGTCCGGTCTCAGTTTTGTATTCTTGTGAATTGGAACAGTACTATGGCTGAGGCTGATGACGTTTCACGAGCGCATGAGAACGCACAGTAAGAATACATATTGAGAAACGGCCATATGTCATACTGGCCATCTTTGATTATTTATTAACATGAAACATTTTATGATTGTTCTTTAGTTAAACATTAATCTACAATTATTTATCAGTTTATCCAATATAGGAATCATTTGAAACACAGAACTGCGAAAACTTTGGGCAGAAAAGCTTTGTAGTTTCAGAACTGTTCTGTTGCTGCCCTGCAAAACCCAAACCTGCTCAGTTTTCTGAATTAAGCAGATAATCACACCTACATCATCTTTGGGATGATATTTTTTTCATCCTATTTCTCATTTTTGTTCAAAAATAAAGTGAAAAACTAGATTAGGGATGTTTTCTGTTATTTTATTGTTTTGTTTTTTAGTTTCAAAAGAAAGAATGAACCGTCTGAATGTACTGACCTTTAAATCTGGGTTATATGAGGCTTCCAGCAGAGACGGCCTGGGCTCATGTATGAGCTACACCTGAGGAAGCCCTGATCCTGTCTAAAATAATAACTGACAGCAGAAATCTCTTTTTCTTTTCTCTTTCAACTTGAAAAGCATTTTTCAAACAGGTGCTCTGCTTCTTGCTGTAAAGGTGTCAGTTTGTGTTAGACGCAGCTCTGGACCAAACTGTATGATAGAGATAGCGGTGCTAAAAAAAACAATAAACAGAACCAGAGATGTCAAGTAATGAAGTACAAATACTGTACTAAGTACACTTTTTAGGTATCTCTACTTTACTCCATTACTTATTTTTCTTCCTACTTCTGATTTCTACTCATTACATTTTGACATAACTATCTGTACTTTCTATTCCTTACATTTTTAAAACAATCGTTACTCATTACTCTTGGGTTTGGTTTAATGTTTATAAATATTTATTTCACGTCATGTGCGCCATCCAATGCAGATCATTGGCTCCATCCACATCTAGTGAAAACTAGTGTCATTGGATGAGTCATATAACGCAAACATTCATTGGTTAGCTAAAGGAAATCATCAGAAGCAAGCAGGTGTTCTTCAAACTGCTAACGTGAATTGTCTATGCCATGCTGCAATGACAGATTCAGAAAAAATGTTGAAATACCTGAAAGGTCGGACACAGGCGAGAGCGAATCAGGAGATGGAGACCAATAAGACCTCCCTCATCCTTGGTCCTATCTCAAAGAATTTTTTCAAATAGGTGAACAAATTAGCTTTCAATTCATATAGTGGAATCTGGCTGTTTTTTTAAAGGTTACTTTATACTTTTATACTTTAAGTAGTTTTTGGAGCACATACTTTTTCACTTTTACTTGAGTAAAGAGGTCAAGTTGATACTTAAACTTTTACCAGAGTATTTTTAAACTGCAGTATCTATACTTCTACTTAAAGGAATAGTACACCCAAAACATGATTAGCCTTCATTTTCT